TTTAATTTTTTTTTTTTTTTTTTTTTTTTTTTTTTTTTTTTTTTTTTTTTTTTTTTTTTTTTAGTTGGGAGAATGACTGAGGGGCCTTGAGGGCTGTGGGGACATTTAGTTAGGGGCAGGGCCATGAACGTTCTCTTATAAGCAATCACATGCAGCAGCGGGATTTTTAAATCTACCTGTGTCTGGCGGATTGAGCGTCGCCTCGTCACGTTTTTTTGTGAGCGGACCTAAGACCGGGAACACAAAACAGAGAAAAAAGGACAATTTTGTGGGGAAAGATGGGGGTTGGGAGAGGTGGTGGATGGGGAGGGGAGGAGAGAAAGCAGAAAAGGGGAGGGTGGGGGAGGCAGAAAAAATAAGCCAAAAAAAGCAAAATTCGTTTGCAAGAAAAAGAAACCAAGAAAAGAGAAAAACGTTTCTATTACCCAATTTTGTTCCCCTCCCCAGAAAAAGTCATGCCCCAAAGAAAAGGTGGGTTTTGGGGGACGGGGTGCCTGAGTGGGCTGAGGCCTGTCTTAAAACATATTGACTTGGTGGGAAAGGATTTGGCTCGTTGGCATGTTTGCTAATTGCTGGAAATGAAACAGTGTTAGAGGAGTGGTGAGAGGGGAGGGGAAGCCTGGGAAACCAAGGCTGGCTGCCACCCAGGCCACCTCTCATAGAGGTCCCTTTGGGACCAGCCAAGTGCTGCCTCCTGCACCCAGACTACAAAGAGAAAAGGCTGTGCAGAAAGGACTCTGCTTCTCTCTGAACCACTCAGGAGAGAAGACGGCAGAAGGGGTTTGAGGGCAGCCCACCTGAAGCTCACAGCTTCCAGAGCCCTCTGCTCTCCACTGGAGGGCTATGAGGAGGTCACCTAGGGCTGCCCACCCACCTTCTCAGCCTCACCCACCAGCAATTCTCTTCCATCTGCATTCACAGGCCTGGCTTCTCACCCCATCTCCCCAGTGTGGGCAAAGCAGGGAAAGGGGTCATCAGGTCTTGCCCTCCACTCCAGCTCATCCCTCCACATTCCCATCAACCTTGTCCCTTACCCAGGCCTCCTTTCCTCCCCCCAAAATTGTAAACTTGCCCCCAGCCCCGCCCCCAGCCCCTGCTCCACTGCAAAAGCCCTCTTCCCCACTGGGAGGGTTCAGCCTGGAAACGGGAAACAGGATACACAGTTTCCTGACCCAGCCTGGCACATAAGGTACTAGGGTGGGAAGTGCTGGGAAGCATCAAGTGGCCCTGGTGCCAGGGAAAGGCCCAGGACCGAACCCAGAGATTGGCTCCAGGCTTCGCTGATTAGGGGATTGGTCAGGGTAAAGCTGGAACTCAAAAGCCTCAGGGGGTTCCCAGGATAGCCGGTTTCTCCTCAATGGCTTTGGAAGCTTGGATTTGCAAGGCCCAGGCTAGCTCTGGAAGACTTTACCTTATAGGCAATGTTGGCCCCAAGGGAACTCACTGGGAACGGGTCTCTTCTTTGTGAGAGCGTGTGAATGGGAATGAAGTCAGCAGGCCATGCACACGTGCATGTGAATATGAAGTAGGTGTGTGTGTGTGTTCACGTGCTCCTGAGTCAACCACTTCCTCTTAGAGCCAGTGTGAAGATTCAGTGAAATCACCTGAATGTGTCAGGCCCCAAGCAGGTCTGTAATAAACAATGGTTAAAAATACAGAAAGTGTGGGCATAGGTGGTGTGGGGGTAGGGGCAGACAATTTGTGTGGAGATGTTGGGGTAGATGGTCAGTAGTAGGAAGTGATGGGTACTACATATGTGGCATATGAGAAAGCCTCCATGAGAAAGATATGGGGTGGACAGCCTATGTGAACGTGTGGGTGTAGAAGGTCAGAAAGCGGGGAGTGTTGAGATGAGATGGACAGCCTGTGAGGTACTTGGGTGAGAGCCCCACAGGTCACCTGGGTAGGTGGCCCATTAGAGGGCAGAGGAATGTGGAGAGCTGAGGTTGTATGGAGTGTACTGAGGTAAATCATCTGTGGGGAATCAGGGTGCTTTTAATTTAGATGGGATTAGTGTAGATAATGTCTCTGGACTGTGTTTGGGTTGTTAGGAGGCAGGGTTAACGAGGAGGCGTCATTAAGAGGTTGGAGTACACACCTGAAATGAAGGACACAGGGTCCATATGGGAGGTGTTGGGATGTACATGGATGGGTTGAGTGCATAAGCTGTTCTGTAATTAGCACGAGAAGATTCTGGGCGAGGGGTGCAGGGTGTTATGAGTACTTTATCTGTGTGCAGGGTTCCCGTGGTCTCTAGGTAGACAACATGTGAAAAAAGTTGAGGGCATTGGGGGCAGTGGTGTGAATATTGGAGTACAGTCCACATGCACTCAGGAGTATAAGGTCTGTGTGTGGGTGTTATGAGGACACATGATATATATCCAGGAATACTAGGGAACATGGGCCAATGTGGATCATACCAGGGAGCATGGCGCGGTGTGGGTGATGGGAATTTCAGGGAAAGTTACACGTGTATGCTTTGTGAAAGTGTTAGGAATTGTGATATATGGGGTACTGGGGCACATGGTCAGTGCACTGGATGACTGGGAGCATGATTTGTACGTCGAATGGTTGAGACTCTGACTACTGTTTCACTTGAGTACATTTTGTGGAAAGGCTGGGGGTATAAGGGCACATTAAGGATTCCTGGGTACAAGGTCGTTGGAAACAGGGTCTGGGAAGGCACAGCAGAGGGTGGGCTTTGTGGAGGTGTTGGTGTGTTCTGGAGTAGTAAGATGGGGTGTCAGAAGGGTGACATGGGGCTGTTTGCGTGGATGTTCTGTTAGGGTGGCTGGAATCTGCAATTATCCTCTGTCGTAGACAGGTAGAAGGTGTTCTGATTCATCTTGGTGTGTGGAAGTTTGGCAGAACTGTCCAGGGGCATGTGCCAGGCCTACCAGCAGACCTGTAGCAAACAGGAGTTCAGCAACAGCAGCTTGGGCCCAAGGAAAGACATTCTGATGGGGATGGATGGGTGAGCTGTGCAGTGAGTGGAGGGGCCCTTGGCAAGAAGCTTCTCTGATCCCTCGGGGGATGTAGAGGGGTTTTTGTATAGGAGACAGAAATCTCCCAAAAAAGGAGGGCAAGAGGATCACAGCCAAGGGCCCTCAGCTCAAGTGAGGGGCTCTGGGTGTCACATGATAGATGTAAATCTGCTCAGGCTGGTCTGGTGGAGAGAGACAAAGAGCCTGTGTTGTCCTTAAAGTAGCCAAAGTGAGTATACCACGTCTAGCTCTAGATGTGGGAGGTGGTACAAGGCAGGAGTGGGTATCTAAGCAGGAGATAGTTCTATCACCTGAAGCCGCCAGCAGCCACACTGAGAAGAGAGGGCTGTGTGTATCACTGGAGAGAAGGTGGGTGAATCTAGGCTAAGTGACTGTTGCCCTTACCATGGCTCTCTAGGGTATGAAGAACTTCTTGGGGTGGACGTGTGTGGGATGCTCCTGGGAGGCCTGGCAGGTACCCTTACCTTCCTCTCAAGGTGTGCAGAGGCTACAAGGACGTACTGCTGCTCACTGACCCCACCAAGGCCCAGCTCCGGGGCCAGGAGCTGGTCAGGTACCTGACAGTCAGGGTGTGTTTGTGGGCTGTGTCCATGGGGTGCTGGGCCTTGTGCCCGCGCCCTTACCGTCCTCGGTGGGCACGTAGAGGTTGAGATACAGGCAGTCCTCGCTCTGGTTCTGCACGTAGGTGGCGGCCGCCTCCAAGTTGTCGGTGAACCACACAGGCAGCATGATGGCCGGCAGCGCCCCGTGCAAGTTCTGCGGGCAGGCGGGCGGCAGGGTGGTGGCGTTGCGCACGCC